GTTTCCTTAAGATGGAACCCAATGGGAGCAGATACAGCGAGAACAGCAGAGGCCCCAGAATTGAGCCCTGTGGAACACCACATGACAGGGGAGCAGTGCGTGACTCAGAGCAGCCAAGGCTGACACAAAAGGTTCTGTCAGCTAAATAGGACCTAAACCACTCAAGAGCGCTACCGCCAATGCCCACCAAGTGCTGCAAACGAGTCAGCAGAATACTGTGATCCACTGTATCAAATGCTGCAGTTAAATCCAATAGAACTAGACACACGTAGTCTCCAGTGTCATTTGCCAGCAGGACACATCCAACTTGTTTGTTTCACTTGTTTTGTTAACCTCAAGTTGAGCATTTATGACAGTTTTTTTTTTTTTTAAACAGTGTGATTAACATGATCATATAATAGAGTAGGGTGGCACGGTGGGCGACTGGCCTCACGATGCAGAGGTCGTGTGTTCGAATCCAGGCTTCTTGTGTGGAGTTTGCATGTTCTCCCTGTGCTTGTGTGGGTTTTCTCCAGGTACTCCGATTTCCTTCCACATTCCAAAAACATGCGTGGCAGGTTAATGGAACACTCCAAATTGTCCACCCTGCGCCTCTCGTGAGCATAAGCGGTTCAGATAATGGATGGATGGATGTCTTAGAGCAGCGATCCCCAACCTTTTTTGCCCCACGGACCGGTTTAATGTCAGACAATATTTTCAGGGCCTGGCCTTTAAGGTGTGACGGATAAATACAACAAAATAATATATGACCTGCATTAAAACTGTGGTGTTTTCGAAACATAATAATAAACCCGAAATCATGACACGAGGATCGTCCTATCTGGCCGCAACACTCTCTGGTTGCCATGGGAATGTTTAAACGTGCCTTCAAAATAAGATACACCGCAAATACAAAGTGCTTGAAAAATATGACTCACCATCGGCGCATATTATGCAGAGTGGGCTTGGTGCGTGGGGATCTCCCGTTGAGATAAATCCATATTTTAAGTAGGACTCCTGATAATGAAACCTTCTTTTTCTTGAAAGTCATAGGCTCCTCTTCTGTCTCCTGGTTGGGCCTTTTCCCTTCCTAAACAAACTTTCCAAAGACCTTTGTTTTTTACTCAGTTTGCAAGCTCCTGGGTTTCATTTTGGCAGTAACATATCACGTGACTGAGAAGCGCACCTTGACCTGCGTCAAGAGTGACATACTGTTGTCGGATGTAATAGAGGATCCTGTAATTTTTCAAAATAAAACTTTCAGATTCTGAAAAAAAAAAGAAAATAATGAAGTTATTTATTTATACTTTCTGTGCGGCCCAGTACCAAATGACCCACGGACCGGTGTCGGTCCGCTGCCGGGGGTTGGGGACCGCTGTCTTAGAGTATTGCTCTTTTGTTTTACTACTGTGCAGAATAGGCTTTAAAAATGTCAAAAATCAACAGTTGTTGTCATTTGCGGTGAAGTCAAGTCAAAACTCTGTTAGCATGGATCAAACCCGTCCATGTGTCAGACTGTCTCATTGTATCACAACATATTGAATACAGGACCTTCTCATTTACTTTTCTTTCTCTTCCAGAGTTCCTGCTCTCCCAGTCAAAAACTTGACTGGGTCTGGACCAGTGCATCCAGCGCTTGCAGGTTGGGTCAGCTAAAATCTTTCCTTTGTGGTGAAGATATTACAATATTACTCACGATCATTTTCTATATGTGTGTGTGTGTGTGTGTGTGTGTGTGTGCGCGCGCGCGTGTATGTTGTCACATACGCATCAGGTATGACTGGTATCCTGATGTGCGCTGTAGGTCTCCCTGTTTGCCTGACCCGAGCACCCAAGCCCATTTTGCACCCACCGCACATCAGTAAGAGCGATATGAAGCCTGTGCCGGGAGTTAACGGGATGCGGCGCAAGACCAAGAAAAAGCACCTGAGGAAAGGTAAGTTGGAGGCAAACATGGTGGAATGGGAGTTGTGTGGTGCAGCGGAGGAAAATGTATCAATTAAAGCAAATGCTCTGTTCATTACGAAAGCTGCCTAAAGGGTTCGTGCACACTGGAGCATCCACACCTGTGTGGCAGTAGCTTAATATACTGAACCAAACTGTGACTGCTCTCCCTTTAAGTTGCCAAAGAACAGTGGCCCTCAACCTTTGTAGCATCACAGACCGCTTTAGTACACACTTTTTGACAGACATTTGTATTCAGTAGAACAATGCACGATCAAAAGATGACAAGATTGATTGCTGCTTTTGTCCGGTGGTTGGCGGCTAGTTGTTAGCAGCTAAACTGCTCATGTTGACATGAGCAAGCTGCTCACATTTTCATGCTTTCCGCTTCATCACTGGGGTGCGACGTGTCCAAATGATTCAACAGTTTTGTTGCATTGCCTTGTTTTTTGGCAAGATAACTTTCACAAATGCTTCCTCCATGTCTCATTGGTGATACAGCCACACAAGCGATGGGAAGGAATTTCTCTTGTCAACATAGCTTCATCTTTGGAAGATTAGTCCAAGTCATGGCTGCCCATCAACTGCGTGTTAAACTACATGTTTGGTCGTTGTTACTATGACTTTCTGTTTTACTGCTTCTTTTATTTATTGGCGGATTGTGTTTGTGTTTCAATTTGCTAACCAAATTTTGGAGGAAAAGCTTGGCTCTGATTGGCTGAAGTCTCACAGATGGACATGCAGGCCAAACAAGGCAGACGGCAGCCAACTAGCTTTTCTACTCATCAGCTGGGCTTTACGGGCCATGGCCTGAATGAAAACGGGTCGATAGAAGCCGTGGAAACTCTGGACCTCCCAAGGGAGTCTTTGTCCTAATTGATCAGTGAGGCTTCCATCCTGAGCCTGCACTGCAGTTGTCCTCTTAGTCAGTCCTTTACAGCTCTTATTGTTCTACACCACTAGTACTCTTTCACTTTTACCTCGTGAGGTTTTGTTATTAACCGTGTTACCAAGAGGATTGAGCCAAAACTCTCAGGCTGTATACTATCAATCATGTGCAGAGTTTATTCATGCAACATGGAACAAAAGATCACATCTGTATGTTGTTTTCATTTAGATTTTTTTAAAGGCTGTCTACAGTTTGTGGTTGATCCAATTGAATATGATGCAAGTTGAGATGTGTCAATTTTCACCGACGTCAACTGTTCCATAGATGGTTGATAACATCAACATTGAACAGAACATCAGACAATGGGTGTTGTGTAATGAATTGAAAGGAGGCAACATTGTGGTGCAGCGTTCATCTCTTTCTGCCTAGCTGAACCGAACAAAAAGACATTCTGGCGGAAAAACTCATTGGCTTCAGTGGTCTGCTATGTGGGTGTGCTCTTAGCCATGCCACACTGCTTGCACACATAAAATGATGATACATGCAGTAGTTGAATGATGACTTGAACATGTACAGTGGAGCCTCGGAACGTGAACCCCTCTGAGGTCATACAATACGGAGTACAACTTCATATTTTAAGATAAAAATGTTGTTTACATGACATCACTAGACTCCCGCATATCTTGCAAGGCATCACTAAATTGCATGAGACTTCAGCATAGTCAACATTTCGATGAACTGTGTGTTTTTACTTTTTCTTTGTGTGGGTGTGTTATCTTATCATCACATACATTTACCAGTGATTGCAAAGGGGAAAAATGACTATCAGAGTAGAAATGGAATTTGCAGAGAATATTCTGTCCACTTAGCCTTTTTAATGTTGTGCATGTGTGTGCTTATAGTTTACTGTATATAATTTGTTTTGTGTGGCAAGGCAAAACCCCAGAGGATGTTGTCAGAAGATACACCGACAAAATTAAAGTGGCACCAGATGAGGTAAAACAAACACACCCACGCACACGCGCTACACACACACACACACACACGCACACGCGCTACACAGGTGTGAAAATATGGAGGAAAAAAAATCCACAGTTCTGGAGCATGGTGACTGAACTGTTATTTGGCTTGTGCAGGACTGTACCATCTGCATGGAGAGGCTGACCATGGCATCAGGCTATGAAGGCGTCCTGCAGCACAAAGGCATCAAGCCAGAGTTGGCGGGCAAACTTGGCAAGTGCGGGCATATGTACCATCTGCTGTGCCTGGTGGCCATGTACAACAATGGCAATAAGGTGGGGAAAAGCTTATGAGCCAGCCGTTATGATGTCACTCTCTAGGCTGGAATTACAAACTCTCAGCATCTTTCGGCTTGACTGGTCTGCGCGGTACTAGCAGATGATCCAACTCCGCAACTGTTCTACACAGATGGGGATCTCAGAGAGCCTTATCAGATCAGTCATATCCATCTCGAAAACCCAGCACTGGGACTTGCGGGAAATCATTATGAATTCAGCTCATTTTGGTGCAGTTGCATGAAATATTAACAGTACTCCTTTTTGCAGAAGCAGAAAATGCAAGCACGTTCGTTTGTGCAATGATCGCAACTAATTAAGATTAAAACACACAAATGTTTGGAGGCTTCATTTTTCTCTTATATTTGTGCTACGCAAATGATTGGACAATAAATATGAAAATGCAAACACCATTCCCACAAAGCCGCTAATGTGCTTTGTGCAGAAAACAAATGAGTCACACAATACACGGGGAATACATTGAAGCGCTTTTAAAGCCTCAAAACCTCTCAAGCCGTGTTCTTTCCTTAAGTTGAAGCATTGATGCTGAAGTAGGGAAGTGATGGGCTGAATTTCATTTGCTGCAGGTCAACTTCTACAGGTGCCTCTGCATACGACAATAAGAGTCTGATCAAAGGATGCCTCTTGCTCCATCTTGAATGCTGTATAATCCGCAATGACTGGCCACGACTTAAAATAGATTGAATGAGGACCTCATCTTTTCTCACATAATGGCACTCATTACTCCCAAGCAGGATGGAAGTCTTCAGTGCCCAACATGCAAAACCATCTACGGGGAGAAAACAGGCACTCAGCCTCCTGGGAAGATGGAATACCACATCATCCCCCACTGCCTGCCCGGCTACCCGGACTACAAGACCATTCGCATCGTCTACGACATTCCTGCCGGTGTCCAGGTTGGCATTATCAGACTTCACTAATCCTCCTTGCTTTTTTGTGCTCTGATCCACCTCCTTTCTTCTCTAAATCGCCGACTCTAATGCGGCTGCTTCATCCGCTTAAGTCTGATGATTCTTGTACCAAGGTGAGCGATGTGAGTCGCTAAGAACAAAGAGTTAAAGATTTTCAGAGGCTGGAAAAAATAGAATCATCAATCTTTTTGTCAAATCTATTTCTCAATTCGTAATGTGTTTTAACACAGAAATGTCGAATGATTTACATTGGGTTTTTTGCAGCTTATGTTCACAACAATTGAGAGAATAGAAGGCTGACGATTTGACCTGACTCTCCATCGGTGCTGTAAAATGTTAAAATGACCTTTTGAGAGCAGGCTCAGTCTGCCAAAGGCGACAGCACTGCTCAGCTGTCATGTTAGCACCGCAGCCACATGCAAGATAGACACCTCCAGCTCTCATAGTAAAGCGAGTGTACCTTCATCTCTTTCCTCTCCAACACCCAGCCCACTTCGCCGGTTTTTGGTACGGCGCATACAAATAATTTGGTACAGTATTTACAGATGCATGTTGGGATAGGTGAGTTCCTTTTTTTTTTTTTTTTTTTTTTTTTTTTGTTTTTTGGGACTGTCAATGGGAATCTTAACAAGGAGCACCGTCGAACATCAATTGGCATCAACTATATATCGTTACGGGATTGGGCAGAGAAAAGTCTTGGCCAACTCTAGTTCGATCATTTGATCGCATTAACTATGGCCAGCAGACGGCAAATGTGGATGTGTTTTGGATGAGATCCCAGTATGTCACAACACTGTGTAAGGTCCTAAAACATTGTGGACCCTTGTAAATGTGACAGTTACAAGCAGCTTGTGATTGATCAAAGTGTTTGTCACGTTCAGTCTTCTACAAAGGCTGTCACAAAAGAGAGAAAAGATGACAGAGGTGATTTAAATTTAGAATTAGAAGAGATGATGGAACGTACACGCACACACACGGCAAGCATGCACACACACGACTAAATACTGCTACTACTCAGAGGTGGGCGCGTCAGGAAAATTTGACAGTGGGTCATTCACCAACACCTGGGTCGCAGGTCCGTCATCTTCAGTCTGTTATTTTTACAAGCCGAAGCAAAACTGCAATTGTCAGTCAATACGCCATTGTTATTTCAACCACACGTCATTGCTAAATTCATATGAGAACATGGTTACAGACAACAGCATTGTTCATCTACCTTTATCGTGATACTGTGGGATCAAACGATTCCATTGTAAATGGAAATAAAAGTTGTTTACTATATATACTGTATGTTTCAGACAAATGAGCACCCCAACCCTGGCAAGAAGTTCAGCGCAAGGGGTTTCCCTCGGCAGTGTTACCTGCCAGACAACGAGAAGGGCAGGAAGGTGAGCCAAGCCACACAAGGTAGTGGTTTGTGGATTTCAAACTTGCTGTTTTGGTCAGAAGAATGCCTCCGTCTACCATAATAAAACAGCCCAAATTTATCATTCCCCATTTATGTGGAAATCTTAATTAAAAAAAAATAAAATAAATTCAAAGGTGGTTAAGAGCCCCTACAACCAATACATCTTGTATGAACTCCTCACAACACTCCCCACCTTGCATCCCACAGGTCCTCAAGCTGCTGATCACAGCCTGGGACCGACGCCTCATCTTCACCATCGGCACTTCCAGTACCACAGGCGAGTCTGACACGGTGGTGTGGAACGAAATCCACCACAAGACCGAATTTGGCTCCAACCTGACAGGGCACGGCTACCCTGACCCAAACTACTTGGACAACGTCCTGACGGAGCTGTCGGCCCAGGGAGTGGGCGAGGACAACGTGAAGGACTGAGAGACTCCCGAGCTGGACGACGGAAACACGACACATCATCTGCTGCGATTAAAACGCTGTGGTGGCAAGGCAAGCGCGACAGAAACAAAACGATTGTTGTGATCTTTTTGCTTTCATTTTGATTACATTTTACATTATGCCCGCAGCATGTATGCGTCCTCAGAGACTTGCGGCACATGCGCCATGTCTGTGTTGCCGCCAGCAAATGTGTCACTGACCTCTTTTCGTGTCAAAGTGAAGCATCTGCACTTGTAGCGCAACAAGAAGGCGTGATTGCGTGGCCCCACCAACGCCGCATAACGAATGTCGAGGAAATTGCTGCAATAAGATGAGGTGCCAATGAAGCTTATCTCACTTGATAAGACAAATTGTAAAGAAAGACATGCATATGATTTTTCTTCAGGATTGGCTTCCCCCTTGTTTACTGAAGAAATTGAAATATTTTAACACATAGTGCGACTTTTCTGTGAGTTCAGAAAACGTGTGCCCCCATCGCTGAAGCAAGGGCTAAAGAAAGTGCGTTTTATAGTACAGTACATGAAATAGATTCCACTGACCCAGAAGCTATGAGGTATTTTCCAATGGGCATTTGTTACATTGCTAACCTTATGGGCTGCCTTTGAAAGGGGCTGTGAAAGATCCTAGCAGACATTTGGAGGCTTGCTATGAGATGTTGGAGCGTACCATTGCGACATTCCAAGGTTAAACTCATTTGTTTTGTTGACACTCTGGGAAAGCTGACCTCTGTGAACATGAAGCCCCATGTTGGTATGCTCTCAATTGGAGGAAAATGTGGCCTTGGGTCTATCCATCATTCTGCCATACACGAGGGGGAGCGTGTGACTGCATGCAGTGAGATCCTAAAGGTGTCGGCATTTTCCCTAGGAGATCCATCTTGCGATATCTCATCTCTCCTGAGAGGTTTTTTTTTTTTTGTTTTGTTTTAATACTCGAACACGGTGCAGTAAGCACTGCTTTCCTTCTGCAGGGTGGAGCGGTGAGGCAAGTTCTCTTCTTGATTCATGTTCTCTTCATGAGCAGCGGACATCCTTCAAGGAAACATGCAAATGTTGCTTTATCGCAGCGGAAGATGCATCGGAAGTATTTTGATTTCTTCTGTGTATGTGTTCCGCTTTCCGTCAAAAGATGTTGTGCCCAAGAGCTAAAGATGGTTTTAAGATCCCTGCTGGGGATCTTCATGGTTTGGGTTTTTGTTTTTTATACTTGCAGATGAAAGCGAGGTCAGCGCTGACTTTCCACAAGAGCATCTGATCAACTTTAATGAGGTGGGGTGTTGATGTAAACTTGTTGTGGGGCTCATTTTGGAGCAAATCAGTCTTCCACAGCAATTGGAAGCAGCAGCTTTGCTTCCAAGTTGTTATTTCTTTTTTTTATAGTCTTAAATGACATTTTAAACCTTTTTTTTTTTCCCTAAAGTCATCTTACAGTGCTTTGGAGGAAAAATGATTTAGAGAGGTGATCTGCCCGACTATTCGAGCTTAGTTTGATTGTATGGTCAGTTTATTTTTATACCTTAAAACATTCACTTACCCATGAACTTAGCGATACAAAAGCAGATGTCGACAAGATACATAAAAGCTGGCAATGTTGTCAGTTTTTCAGGGACTGTTTACTTATGTATGACATGTTAATGGGCGTCGAATATAATAAGTAGTGTTCGTGTATGCTACTGTCCGTACCTTCATGTAGAATGTGTGTAAGTGACTTGAGTAAATATAGTCAGTGTATCTCTGTCATTAGTCGGGGAGCCTAAACAGCATGAGCGTTGTCATCCTCCCTTAGGATCCTTTCTAGATAGGAAGTCAACTTTTTAGTTCACCTTCAGTCAAAAGCAAGGAATCAACTGGGTGAAAATTGGCTACAGATATCGTCACTGTTCGATTAATAAACAGGAGCCACAGATTGGCGGGGGTTGGTTTTTTTTTTTTTTTTTTTTTTTTTAAGGCCCTGAAAACTTTTTTTTTGTCCTCACAATGTAATGTTAGCTTGCTTTGTATTGTGAGACGTATGCAAATGGGGGATGTGTCACTTTGCTGCTGGAGCAGCAGGCCTGCGGCTGCTTCTGGTCCCTCCTAAATCAATACAGCCTGTTGTCATGTTTTCCGGTTTTCAACCACATCCAGCCAGGCGAAACATATATGTGAGCAGCATGTCTGTTACTATTGTGTTGACTAACGCGGCATTAGAAGAGCTGGAGGTCATCTTGAAGGGCAGCAAGCCCAGAGTGCGTTCTGATGTGTGCAAGTGTTGTTGTTGTTGTTGTTTGTCTTTTAAGCAAAAACGGCAGTTTTCTCTGGGGGTGATGCACCAGCGGGAAAACCTGTATGCCTATTTGCTGCAGTTCAGATTTATTTAATAATAGTTGTATAAGACCATGGAGAGTATGTCCACCGCTTTCATAGAGCTTTATTGCTTTTGCGCTCTTCGTGAAGCAGATTCTCAACTAATATCAAACGTTCAGGGATTATTATTTCATGTCTAAGGGAGAACCAGATTCATTTTAAATTATGGTCTACAACCAACATCTTACGAGTTGAACGCATCTTTCGAAGTGAGTTGTTTTTTTTTTTCCCCTCTAGTTTCCGTGATGGATCTTCTTTGACTCTTGGTGTACTGATTCACTCTGGATGACACAGCTCTTGTCTTTTTATGCAAAAATGCGTCTGTCCAAACGTTTTCTAGCTGAAATGATCAGCCTACTAGAATTTTTATCCTAGAAGAATTCGTGTGTAAGCAATCGCTGCATGAACTATTTTTTCCATCAGTTCACCTAACCGAAAGAGGTTTTTTTGAAAGATACTTTTTCAGGGGCTTTAAAAATAGTTCTGTTTTAGTTTTTTCCTCTCCATCCACTTGGATATTGACTGCAGTCAATTTAAAGTGTGCATGCATGTTTTTGGAATATAACCTGTGACTGTGAGGAACACGTGCCAATGTGCCGCATAAAAAAGTTCATTTTATTCCAGTTTCAACTTATTTAGGCTGTCTACTTTTCTCTCCCCCGTCACAAGGCAAAATAAATTGAGACCAATCATTGTTTGGACCTCCTTTCACTTTTGGAGGCCTTAGCAAGTCAGCACTATCAGGGAAACGTCCACATTGAGTGAAGTCTATTGAAGAAGAGAAATCCAAATGTTTGCGCCTTGAACATTTTGTCGCCCTTTAGACTTTCAGGTGTGTACAGACTTTCGCGGAAAGTAAACATGCAATGCGGTTTGGTATGCCTGAGCGACAGAGAGAGCTTGTTTATGCAATTTACTATTTTCGAAATGTAAAATCTGATTCATTTGTAGCAAGGACAGTGATATTTTTGGGTTAGTAGTTGTTTTCCTTGTGGGGTGCCTCACTCTTGTCTAGAATAAAAGCTGACATATATGTATTGGAAAGCATATATTTTTGATGTATTTTCTGATTAACGATTGTCTTTGCGATAACTACATCATTTGATTCCAAGGGGGAAGTTATGATGTCTCATTGGGCGCAAGATGTAGTATTTCCTACTGTAATCAAAAGTCATAAATGTTCAATGCTTATAGTACACCTCTTTCAAATATACCTTAGACATTTAGTGTGGCTATACTGTCTGTTGGTATCTCTTTGTCTCTTTAAGTGTGCGTCTTGCAAGGCAAAAATCATCGGGCCGCGTCATCCTTTCAAAAGACATTCATGTTCTGCCCGAGATGCATATGAGCTACTTTAGTGGCGATGCGTAGGAAGTCATCACAGGCTGCTCTTTAGAAAGGTCAACCAGATGATGTTGTCATCTTAGCACGGCTCTGTATCTTGTCGCAGAACATTTTCATTTTACACGAGTCAAGGAAACATGGCGTTTGGCTGATATCAACTTTTGGGACATGTGCAACATGTTTCATGTTTTAATTGACATTTTCAATTCCTAATTTTGTGGTTTGACATGACTTGAGCAACACTTTTCTCGTTCAAACTTAAAGCTTAAAGAGACATGGAGACTATGATCACTATAAAGGGCTTTTTAATCAAATAATCGGTCTTTATTGAATCGCGTTGACCTTGTTGCATGTTTGTGTCTTTCTTGTGGACAAAAATGAAAAAATAAAGTGCCCTCAGTGGGGGTGATTTTTGTTTCACCTTTGTTACCTCAGCGTTCATTTTATTTGATTTTTGTGTGTGTGTCTTATTTGTGTTTAGCGTTATTTCCTGCAGCTCATGATGTGAATTTGAATGTGCATTACTGGTCATTCGGAACCTCTGTCAACTGAACTGTGTGGGTGCCGAAGCCAGTGTGTGCTAAAGGCTGTGTTGGGATGTGACAACCCTGCCCCCTTCCCTGCAGCACTGACCCAGTAGCTCCCTCTCGTTGGTCACGTCCTGTCTAATTGTCCAAAGAGCTGGGAAACTGCTGTGTGGTGCAGGTAGGTCAGCTCTCATTAGTATTTAAATCAGGCACAGAGCAGCAGTGGATACAAACATAGTTTATTTAATATGACGTTTGGTGATTTTATAAAGTCATTCTTTTGTATGTAGGCTTTTTGTATATTGAAGTTAACACTTACGCTTTCTGCTGTAAAAGACTGATGCTACTTCAGCTCTCATCAAACTGCATCCAAATGTAATATAAACCGAAAAGAGATATTGACTTCATTGTCTTTTTGAGCCAAGTCATCAAACATTTTTGACAACTTGCCTTCGGTTTTTGGAGCTGAATCGAAAGAGCCCACAAAACGGGCCAAATCCCCATCACTTGGTTGTGCACAGTCTGGGAAATTTAATGGCAATATTGTGATGCACATGCATATCTTTACACATAGGAAATTGAACAGTCGTGTTCTAATGAATATGAGTGTTGTCATGATTTCCGTAGTTGACAGTCCAGTAGAAGAACAGTGAGATTTCAAAATAAAAGGGAAAGGTGTTTTTGGTTTACGTTCATTCTGGTTTCCAATTTGGATTTTGTGATGTGAATAAATGTGAGAGCAATAAAAAAAACAATATTTTGGACTGCAGAAATACCACAACATGAAAACTAATTATTGACTGCCCTTTCTGCAACAGTCACTATTCTAAAGGACCCCCCTAACCCACGCACACACCACACACAAACACTCTCGCGTGCGTGCTTCCATTAACATGAACACTTAATCTGTGCCCAAATCGAAAGAGCAATAACTGTTTAAAAAAATGTGTGATTTTAAATGTACAAATGTAAAACCGATCTAGATCCACATTTTTGGGAGGGGGGGGGTCTTAATATACATTAGCTTTTTCCAAGCGTGACCCTTTCGATTCCCAAACTTGATGGCACCTCAAAAATATACATTGTAAACTACTCAATTTACCCATCTTATTCGTACTACCAAAGAAGGATCTGGTCCCCTCTATCTATACTGCATATGATCATTTAGGTGGCTGGATATAATATGTAAAAGATAAATGTTACCCACATCAGTGGAAGGTTACCACAATGCATCGTCAGCTGCAAGTACAAAACAAAGTAAATGCTGACAGCACCAAACAAATGCACACTGCTCCGTCATGAAGGGCCCAAAGCAACAATTACAAGACATTTTACTTTGTTTACTTATCGGCACAGGTCATCGTGTGGCATGTGTGTTTCTCATCATGATGTCACTGCAGTCATAGTCGTGTTGAATTAATGAGGCGCCAAAATTCATGCACAAAAGTAATCATAACGCACTTACAGAAAGTTAAGCACATTATAGAACAAGCTTTTGCATAAAAAATGTGCGACCTGGTGTCCTGTAAAGTATGTCAAAACAGAAAAGATGTCCCCACCCCACCCCACCCCCACATTCAACCATGAGGACACAGGACATGCGACAAAAAATATCAAGCGATCATGCTCCCTTTATCTTCACATGTCATAAATTCTCTGCGGCATTGCTGAAGTCGGTGGCACTCACAGAATACAAAGCATGGCCTACATATTGGAAATACTCTCGAAAGGATGCGCCCATTCAGCCACGTTTTCTCCATCACGATCTCAAGGCTGGAATTCAGTCTCACTTGTATTTGAGAAGGATTTATTGGGACCACTCGTAGTCTGGTCTACTGATTCAAAATTACATTGGTGGGGTCCTCTTCGCCTCTGCCCTGGAAGGTTGCGTGAGCCTGTTCTAGATCCTCAATCGCTGTAAGGAGCCGAATGGCGAGGCTCTGACCCGCCTTTACGTGGTCCACTTTACATTCGGCGCCATCTACGGGGGGCAACAGAGGAACTTAGTTACATGTTGCTTGTTACTGTATAGCCCAACCATTGTGCTACACCCCTTGAGATCATCATGAGAGATCAGGTGTGGCACAGGAAATAATCGAAATTCGCTTAAAAAGGCCCCAAAATTATTTCTACAATGCATCTTTTCTCTTCAATCTATGCCTGTGATGTATAGTGACAGGCAGAACAATTAAACACTCTTCCATTAGGATTAGGGTCCATGCATACAGCAGCATGGTTGGAATTATATCAGAATTTTCATGTCATAGACTACTGTATGTAGCTCATTCATTAAATGAAAGATCAGCTGTCTAATACGACTTGTGGGCTCTGTTGATGACATGGTTGTACAGAAATTAGAACGTACAGCATCAACGTCAGCTGATGGATGGACCTGCTAATAATATTAAACAAATAATTTGTTTTTAGCTGAGTGTATTTTACAAAGGTAATGCAAAGAAAGCACTTCATGTCCATCCACTGTGATGTGTTGCTCTACTTACAGGATGTTAAAGATTTTTTCTTGCCACACCTCATGAATTTGTCTTGTGCTGGAAATGAAACGATCACCCTGGAAACCATCAATATTTTTTTCTGTATCACTGTAGTGCATCATGGAATAGAGTTGATTTTCCGGTAAGAATCAATGTTTAGAGTTTAACCCTTTCAGGGACTCGCAGTTACGACAGTGGACAGCTTATCATGTTATCTGGTTACAGGGTGCGTGAAAGGTTTAAAGGGCCGTCGTGTGGGCACTAAACAAGGGATAACCTTTACTACACAATCAAACAGGACTACAATGGAAAAGGCACTACATATTGGATAAGAAGTATTTCCAAATACAGCCAATAGTTCAGGTGTTCCTGTGAGTATATCAGTTTCGTCTTCAACTCATTTGTGAGTAAATTAACATGAGATTGTTGGTGTTTTAGTGTACGTGCATCCTTTTTGTGTTGTTTCTTGCAACATTGTGTTGCAAGAAACGATGGGGCATCACCTGGGTGAATGTCAGAGTTGATCTCTTCTTTATTGCTGGTCATCTGATCTGCCTCTGGAAGGTATTTTTTCCTACGGGCACATCAAGCAGTTCATCACAAGGACGATTCATTACTGCTCAAAATATAAACAGAGGAGGTAGTTGGAGTGTGAAACACAGACCTCCAGTGTCCAGTTTGTGAATTGCAATCAAGCTGAGGCTGTCATTTTTCTTTTTGAAACCCCATACTTTTTGTTATCCCTCATGGTAATATTCAGCTTTCACTTTTCGAGGTATTTTGTGTTGTGTATCACATCACACGGAGAAATGTAAAAATGAAGAAGTGCCATTGGGGTTGAGGTGTCAGCGCCTTGGCCATGGTAATCTCAACAGTGATCGAGAAGTCGACTCGCATTTCTCCAAAATTCGCCTTTTTTGGGGGCTGCTAAGGGACTCATAATATGACTTTCAAGTTGCAAAGATCTTACAGAAGAGACACTGTACAGCACTGACCTGAGTTTGTCTCTTCCCTGGAGAAACTGCTTGTAAATCGTCTGAGTCTCTACATCGGGATCAAGAGGGTCACTCCAGTCCCCCAGAGTCACAGCGGAGTGGGTTCGACTGCAGCCTGGAACTGTGAACCAAGCGCAGTTAAACACCCGATCCATTTCTACTCTTCCTCTACTACGGGGACAAAGAAATTTGACGAGACCAGTTTGCGCCGGTTGAATCTTATTGTTTTGACACAAGCGGTGAGCGTTTCTGGGATTTGGGGTTTGAATCTTAGCTTTGGCCTACCTGTGTGAGAGATGTTCTCCCCGTGGTGACGTCCCACATTCCAAAAATATGCACATCACATTCAATGAAGACTCTAAATTATTCGTAGGTGTAAATGAGTGAGTGAGTGTGATAGGGAGTTTGTCTCTATGCGCCTTGTCTGGCAAACAATCAGGGTGTGTCCCGCTTCTTGCCCTAAGTAATCAGAGTAGACTCAAACCTTAAATGCATCGCATATGTTTACAACTTTGGGGCAGTATGAGGGAGGCCTTTTTCCTCACTTTATATACATTTGGTTTGGACGAGCCCTGACCTTCAGCCACTGTTTACAGGGATTCTGAGCCAGGCTAACACGTCCAAAATCCATCCCACGAGCCAACTGACTTTGAGCGAAAGGAACGGTTATACCTTGGACTGGTCATTTAGACGAGGAACAATGTTAGGAAAGCCAAAGTGTCCAATACTGTATTTACGACCTTCTGACAGATGCAAACCTGCTCATTAAATGCCTCACCCGGCAGCTCCATATGCAACATGACATGGACAAAAACTCCCACAAACACAATATGTCAATATTCATTTCCTGTAGGTCAAAGCCAGAGCTCCCCAAAACTTAGTGCACTTGAAGGAACAGTTGGCTTCAATAGAGAGCTGTGTTTTTCCGGAAAGCTCACTGTCAAGTACACAAACAAGCATTGGAAGTAAACAAGGAAGGTTTACCTTTGCGCTCCGTCTGCAGGCAACACGTCCACTTGCCCCCACGATGTGTCCCCGGGTGGAAGGAAGGAAGCATGCGCTCATTGTAGATGCTGACTTTCCTGATAGCTGACAGCCACTGGTTCAGCTCATTCACATTCTGTGTGGATAAACATAGCAACAAGTCATTTGGTGCGCACGATACATCCTTGATGAGTCAAGGTAAATTATACACAATTGCATTCCCAAAAATTCACCACTGCATTTTTCCATTGTTGTTTGTTTTGGGGGGCGGGGGTGGGGGGTGGTTCTCAAAGGTGGGCATTCCGTCAGACTGACGGAAGGTCCGTCAGACTGTCACTGTTTTCGTCAATATTTCAGGCAGTGTACAAGCCAACACGCAGAGGAATTGAAAAAAAATGAAAAAGAATTTAAAACAACAGCGACACACACGCACACACACACACACACACTACTCACAGCGTGGTGATTGGTGAAATCAAAACAATACAGGGCACACGTCATTACACAACACTGTTTTGTTTTTCCTGTATTTGGCTGCGTGTCAGCTGTGCCGCACCTCTGGGTCACATAGTACCGGCAAGTCCATTCACGACACCGTTTGGCTGTCACCGAAAAACTGACGGACTCACCGGACAGATGATGCCCACCTCTGCTGGTTCCTGTCCTCTTGAGCAGGAAAAATGCTTGCACTATCGCGTTTAAGTTTAAAGATTGACTTGAGCAGTCTAAAACTTGCCACTTCTTAACTGCCTGATAAACTCCTTAATTTTTTTGGGCTGTGTGTTTTGAGTAATTATTTTGCTGCACGATGAAGGATCGAACAGCTTAACTGCATTGTTCCTTATATGACACCGGTCAATAGTAAATATTAATCAGAGATGGCTTTGACTGTCCCTAAACATATTTTTGATGCAAAATTTAAAAAATGTACATTAAGTTTTTGAGATATTTTCTTTTTTGTTTGTTTTTAGGTTTGACCTGTAAAAGCTTTCACAATACGGATTTTGCCATGTGTTGTAGATTGTACCTTTGATGTTCCAGAAAAAAAAAATCCACCTGTTGCCGAACCTAACCCTAAATTCATAAATATTACTAAATATACTACTATATTCCAGGACCGGGACCACAGCACAAGCTTTGTGTTGAGGTGAAAACATTCTGGTCAGAATTTCTCAACCTGACACACCAGCTCAGGCCTCGTGCCTCCCAGAGGGGTGAAATCCACGTCCCTAAAGCCAGCTTCTGTATAGCCGGGGATCGGACCACCGCAATCCCCACCTTTGGCTGCCAGCCAGCTGTCTCCACGCACCCAAACCCCTCGGCCACTCCCGCAGGTGGCAAGCCCATGGAAACTCTTGAACTGCCAGTAATTAAAACTAACTTCATGAAACAACAAAAGACAAAACTAATTAAAAAACTAACTATACTGCAATGAAAGATCCAAAACTATTCCAACTCTGATTCGCACTTGTACCGAGGACAAATCCAATTTTGTATGAGGGGTCAAGATATTGTCTGACTACTTAGCGTCGTGATTAATGAAGAATGCACCTTGCACTGGATGTACATGGTTTGGAGTTGGCCGTCATTGTCCTGGGTAATGACCTGCATTACATTCTGCTGCTGGAAGGCATTTTCGTCCACCCTCTCCACCGCGCGCACACAATGGATGGGCATTGAGGAGCGCACCTGCAACAATTGAGCCACAAATCACAGCAGCAATTAAGATGAGCACGGGCGAGCTGACAATGATGGATTCTGCTGAGCGTTTTCAGGTTTGAGTGAAATAAAATATATCGGCGTGACTCAACGGGGCAGTTGTGGATGAAGGACATTTACGAAAGCATTATTCTCAGGGGCTATTGTATGAGAAAAGCATGTCATGATGATGAGAACAGCATGGCGGGCAAAGCACTCTTTTAAGTGTTAATCAGCCTGTTCCGATGGGAGCTTGGCTCAGTGAGACCGGACGGCTCCAAGATGGAGGAAATGGGCCAGGATATTGTTTACAATCTGATTTGCAACGTTACCATGAATATCCACAAGCCTCAATTAACCCTCGCCTTTATCCCACTCACACAAAGCAGAGGCGGGCTCAAAGAGAGCTTTATGCGGCTCTCTTCTCTCGCAGGCCCTGGCTGGTGAATGAGAGGAGATCATTATCACAAGGTAAGGCACCGCATGGTAATAACACTAATGACGGCCTCACAAGGTGATCAACACAAATACATTAGAGCAAGCTGAGGATGATTAAGGTGGTTCATCTTGTTCGGGGCCGGCCAGGTTGCCACGAAAGCTCATTCACCACCAGAATCCACATATCCTCTTTTAACAGAGTGAGATGGTTTCATGTCAATTCACTGATTTTCACACTGGAAGAGGGTGATGCTGAACACCCGTAGTTTAGACATGACAGATTGAAGCTAACAGTCGAGCTGAACGCAAACTTAACATTTTGCAAGTTTTGCAAGGCACTAGTAGAAATACCTCTTCATTCATAATAACCTTAGGTGAGGATATTACAAGACTTGAATTTACTTTTGTGACTCAAAACCTTCAAAATGATTTGCGATTCATCATTCGATGTGATTCTTAGAGATGTATCCATCCATCCATCCATCCATTTACTTGCTACCTCTCATCAGAGGGCAAGAGGCGCCCATGAATGTTGGCCGTGCACGTGTAGAGAAACAACCGCTTACACTCTGATTTAAACCTGTGGCCAATTCAGAGTCGTCAATTAAGCTATCACACATGTTGTGAGGCTGCGGGAGGAAACAACCCACGCTCCACGCAAACACTGTATTTGGATACACTACACGCAAAGCTCTTGCTACCGACCTGCCAATCAGGGGTCTTGGCGTGAGAGAGCGTCTCACTGGTCAACCAGAAGTAGCGCTTCTTGGAGGCGAAGCGAGACAACAGCTGGGCTCCTTCGGCTTTGTGTTTTTGGAGGTATCCTTCTTTGACGATGACCGTGGGGAGGAACACCGCTCGCTGTGGCATCTCAGATACTGCAAGAGAAAAAGAGACACAAACATAAAGGTATCGGGGCATCTGACCATTATACCTACGAGAAGTGTAAATATGCAGTTGACAAGAGGATTTGTCACACAGGTCCTGTCGACAAGGGTGTCGTATATTTGAAAGAATGTTTTTAGTCATTTTTATTGAGTTATTTTGTCATTTTATTTATTTATTTGGACTTTTGGGGGGATTGTAAGTGGATAAATACTGTTTGATAGCCGTCTTTTCACAAGGGTGTACGTTTTATTGATTTTAAGATATACCGTACATCTAAAAAATACAATTTCAGTTGTAGTTCATCACAAACGTGATATTGAGATCAGAGCTCTCTGTGGCACAGTCAAATTATTAAATAACTCGCTCAAGCATGTCTTTATAGACCTTGCATAATTGTGTATTGGAGCCCAGTCATGCTGATGAGAAGGGGTCCTTCCCCAAACTTCCCGATAAGTTACTAGCATAGAATTGTCCCAAATGTCCAAAACGTCTTCATGAATGAATTTAATTCCAAGTGTGTCTCAAGACTTTGATCAGAAACAACCACAACATATCCTTCGATGGTTGTCTATTGCCACTTCAAGATCATATCAAAGTGCCATAACGTTCACCTCTGAGTCGGACAAATCAAGCGAAAGAGCATCAAATGTCAACCTGACCTTTAAGAGAAAAGTGCGGGTGTTTACTGTGCAGATGGAAGATGAGACATTATAAAAAGGGGGAACTTTTTTCACAACGCTATCCTCGCTGACACATGATGGTCAGAAAGCGGGCAAGTCATGTGTCACTCTGACTCCCCGCCAACTCATTTGTCGCATCAACTCTTTTCTGTGTTCATGAATATTTCACTGCTCGGCTACCAAGCTGTTTCACCGATTCTGCCATCGGATGCCACAAAGACACTCGTGACGCTTACGAAACTTTCTTTTCCACTCCTACGCTGTTCCTTACCCATGTCATGATCAACGTCAATCAATTTGTCCAAGAAGTCCTTGACAGAGGCCACACTGCGAAGGATGATGGGATGAAGAGGTGCCATCCACTGCTCCTTTCCATGACCCAGTTGCAGGCCCAGGTTCCCCACACTTTGTAATGCCTGATAAGAACCAAGGCCATGTGTATTCATACTTTTCATCACATTTTTTTCAACAAGCGCACACTTGAAAAAGCCTCTAAAGGAGCAAGCCCAGTTCGTTATGGACGATTTAGAGTCTTCCATGGAAACCTAACACGCATGTTGTGAAACGGGGGAGGACGCCATAGTACCAGGAGATTGCCAAGATTCATACCCAGGACCCTCCGAACTGCACATGTGCTAACCACGAGTCCACCGCGATGCTAACTTAAAGTCACAGATCAAAAAGGTCCCACCCCGTAGCCCAGCACGCTGTGAAACCTTTTGTCCAGCCCCCACCTAGCCGTGGGAGAGAAGGAAGTCCCTGTATACATCCTCTGTGATGCTGTCTTTGAACAAACTCTGCTGGCTGCACACAGAGATGCAAAAATAGCCTGTCCCTTTCACAGAAGAGGACCCATGGCAACAGCATATCAGAACGGTGGACAGCAGATATGAAAACCACATCAAGCAATACTGCATGTGTAAGCCTGACACCCACACCGTAGAGTAGGTAAGGACCCACGCGCGGGGGTAACTTTAAATGAAGGTCATATCAAAAAATATAGTGGACTCACACAAGGAACCGGGTTCCATATGTTTTGCCATTTTCGTTTGTGACAATACCGTGAGGCCAACATAAGAGGGAAGCGTTACAAGTGGTCCTCAGGTTATGCAGTTTCCAGTGTATGACGTTTCAAGATTACAAATGGCATGCAATGAACTAGAGTGCGCAAAGCATAACGAGACGTCATCACGCAGTTCAAGACAGCATGCAGTTACTGCCGTACAGTTTGGTTGTATTTGTACATCTTTCGAACAAATATCCACTGTCATTATTATTGTGCTACTGCGTTAGTGATAGAAAAGGGCGTGTTCCAACTTGCATCGAAATTGTGATAATTCTGCCGGCATGCACGTGTGTGCAACATGTGGGTGCTGTCCATTATACCTTGGCCAGCAATAACAGTGTCCTGCTTGTACGTGTATCAGCATGCTGGTCTCTCAGCTGGAACAGTTTAGGTGTGAGGATGGCAGGAGCGAAAAAACGCAAGAAAAAGAATCCACTGATGGCGAGATATTTCACATCCTGTTCAGCATAAGGTGAGGATGACAAGTGTTATTAAAACTGCAAAGTGATGTATACTAAACCTATCGGCTGTGAAATACGATCATATTTCACACCGGGCATTTTCTTGATGTGCGCACTGACCTCGTTCTCAGGTTCGGCAAATTGCTCTTCCACCCGCTTGTGCAGCTGTTTGAAGGCCACTCTCATGACAGGAGGACATTGCTCAACCGAGCCAACGATTGATTCAACGATCCTGGTTAAGTAGCTTTGCAGCATCTCCACACTGCTGTCCCGCACCTCTGCCTCCGACACTACACCTTTGAATGAAATTCGCCTTTGCGGAAGAAAGGCGACATAACAATGGACACTTACCAATCAACCAAATTCTTAACGATCCATTCATCGATAATAGATAAAGACAGTAGACATGCTTACGATCGCAATTATAACATGTGAGAGCATCTTGTTCACATGAGTTTATGGAGAAATGATCCTTGCCATTCAGTATTTGGTTTTGGGTTTCAGCAGAGATTTATAGATATTTAAAAAAAATTAAAAATGACAGCATGCTTGGCTATTGCAAGAAAGATCTCCCTCCATGTCACAGAGTGACATCTCACGGGGCTTATAGCAGTTGCCAGGCAACAGCTCTGACATTCTTTTCTATTTCATTTTCAGGTTCGTGTATTCTCTCCAAGGATAAAGTGTAAAGGGAATGTGCAGCACTCAAGGCCAGACACGAATTGTGAATTACAGATATGCAATATACATTTTTATCGCGGGGATTACGTTCCAAAAAGATCAGTGAAATCCATTAAGTCGTCTTTTTTTTTTACATTATTAAGTATACAATACGATACTGTATTGAATGAAACCAAAGATTAAAGCTTTTTTTAGGCCCAACCATTTAAAAAGAAACAAAAATATAAATGTTTTCTGACAAACGACGGTCAGTTTTTACAAATACTGTACAGAAGGTTTTGTCGACATTGTGGGTTTTGTCTTGGAAAAAAATTGGCAAGCTGTACAGCGATGAGGCGTGGAGACTGTTGACATTAGTCTACAGTCCCATAGCCAATCAGAATGAAGAACACAATGCACTGTTAAAAAAAAATCTGTGAAACAGCAAAGCCCTGAAAGATGAACCAGGGATTACTGTATCTGCATAATTACATGCTTGATATATGAGAATTGTGTTTCAGGTTGTCAATAGGTGAGGTCTAGGTCAGATTTACCTTGTGTGATTCAGGTCAATCTTACATGGGTCCAGTTCAATGTACTTCTTCTCATCAAAGATGCGGCTAATGATGGGTTTCAACACTTCATGTAAATACAACATGCCAACAGCCTGACAGCAAACAAGACCATGGGTTAGTTTTTTTTTTCTTTTTTTTAAATCTACATTTACAGTACATACGGCCAAATAATCTCTTTTAAAAAGCAACAGTTTATGAAAGACTCAGATGTACATTTTGGAGCAAGAGAGAAAAAAATAAAAATCACCAAATGACTGACTCACCTTCATAAACTGCTCCATGGCTTTGGACGCAAGAGAGTTGGAACGAAATAAAGTATTTGGATCAGCTATGATGGCAAGACAAAAAAAAAAAGAAAAGAAATGCTGTTTAGTGGAAACAGAAACACCGGCACAGATTATGAAGAAACAAGATATTTCGTGGATTCTATGAGAGCATTTTGTTCTAAAGGATTTGGGGGGGGGGGGGATATTATTATGATTGTTGTGAAAAGACCTAACTCAATAGTATTGTATACGTAGTCTTGGTAAACCATCTATTGGTTGTGCAGTGTTGCCATGGAAACCTTGGCAAGAGGCACATTCTCTCAAACTAAGCTAAGAGTATAGACATACCAGAGCCCAACTCTGTGCGACCTATACACTGACCAGTCCAAGCGTGATGAGAACTTGCACATTATAATGAGATCCACTACAAGAGCTTCTTTCAAATATTCTGGCTTTATGAAGATAACCATGTGCTCATTTGATCGGCACTATCAATGACAATTGCAGTGGGCTTCAACTGTCCAGCATCGCGAGTAAGGCGAATGGATTTGCAAATTCTGTTTTAATTTACAGTTCACACAATGGCCCACCTTCAGTGGAATTGGAGTTTGCACATGAGTGATACAACGTGATGGTGTATAGTTCTAGACCACTCCACCTAAATATTTTCTCATCACACTCCGACCTTAACTTTGTAAAGGTTGATTATTTGAGACAGCGCTTCTATTGGATATCATTATATGTGGTTGCACAGGGTACACGGACACGTGATGTGCAGGCAGACGCATGAACAGAAAACATTCCACTAGCATTTACGGGGCCTGACCTTCCCGCACAAAGACCACGACTGTACCTAACAATCAATTCCCGGAGAGAGCTCGCAGGCATGCCCCAAACTCTGGCTAAAATAAATAATGACTCATAGGAAACGAGGCAGGTCTAACACGAGGTGTATTGTGCTTCTGTATCACTTTTGGAAAGTCTTCCATGAACATCGGTGACGTAGCCATCCTCATCACACCTCCACACTCGGCGATGGAAACAACAAGATCAGGGTTTGCCATTCGAAACTGTACCATGATGAAGCGTGATATATTGACATTACAAGGACAGGTTTCAATGGCGTTGAACGGTTGGGTGTTCCAACTTACTGGTATGGTTGACCTCGTGGGTGTTCAGATAATCTAAAAAGGGAACCACGAGGCCCTGACCCAGGTAGATCTTCACCAAGGTCATGGCCACATCTTGTCGGCTCTCAACGGTGGTGACCTCTTCCAGCATGGTCAATGCACTGCTGTCTTCAACCTGACAAGAAGATACCTTAGATTATTTGTTTGCTCTTAACATGCTCAACATTTTTAGTGGTAAGAAGGGAAATTTGTGAACGCTGTGAATAAAAAAAAGCGGCTAACCTCAGCAGGGGAGATGACTGACTCAACCAAAAGGTCAATGAGCGGCTGATAGTACAAAGACGGCAAAATCTGATCCTCGACCAAGCGCACTTTCAGACGCAATGCTCCCAACTTGCCTCTGGACACAGGGAAATAATTTAGGAAAACAAGCTCGTTGTGCTGTATTTGTAATGTTAATTGTATCTTCACAGGGGCATTTAACAAAGTAGATTTGGGTGGGGGGTTTCTGGAGTGAAACGCATAAAGACAATATTAATCAGTGAGAAATTACAACAACGATGGTGTTATTTTACTCTCTGATATTGGCTTTTTACAAATAGATTGTAATGCAGTAATGCAGTGTGTTGGCCAGAATGTCTATATCTGTTTCCTCCCGAATAAACTATGAGTAAGGACATCGACCTCTAAAAGTCCAATAGTCATCTGAATGTAATATCACCGACCAAACACGCGCACCCATAATCCTCACCCTGCATCCACCTCATTGTTTCCCAACGGTAGCAAACGAAACCAGCTCTCCAATAGCGTCTTTTGGTGCAAACAAGCAGAAGGGATTTCCACCTGCAGCAATCAAACACTTTTTCGACTTATTTCATGAATGTATGAATTGAAGTCAGCGAAATGTTGCCATATCTTGGGGCATTTAGAGTCAACCTCTCCTCACCTTTCCCAGAAAGTCGTTTTTGCCCACCATGTCCCAGTCCCAAACCTCCACAATGACAGTTCCTTCCTCACTGAGTTCCTGTGGATCCAAGTCCAGCTCCAGGGTTTCTCCCCAATGAGGGAAACGGGTCTTCTTGATAATCTGAAACCCAGAGGGTATGACTTCACCTCCTCATCATATCTTCTTACAGCGCATGGTAATCATAAAGACCGCGCTCACCGAGGTCTCTGCACTGTGGCTGTTGTAAATAACTCTTGCAAATGGATCTGAGGTTCCAGAGATGTCTCTTGGGGCCAGGTCTCTGATATCAATAAACCAACAGACACATTTTTTTTTGACGCAGCAAACCGCAAACAACCTATAGTCCTAGTTACTTGTAAAAATGATGACAGTGTTTCATTTCAACCGAATCCTTTCAAACCAATTCATATTTGCAAGAACATGACTAAATACCGCAGTGTCAAGGTCAGAGTGATATGCTTGTTAGCACCCTTACTGAGAGGGTGAGTGTGGATGGAACCCACAGATGGGGTACTGAGCGGTGTGAGGGTGGCATGTTGACTCAAGCAGGGAAAATGGAAGCCTGCAGCATGATGATGATGATGATGATGACAAGATTTCAGCACAAAGATGATGTATCAGGCATAAGGACATGATAGTAGAAGGGAAAGGAAACCTACGGACACTATGTTCTGAAACCACGGCAGCCATCTTTCAGAGCAGAGCTTATTGCATACCTGGCTTCGATCACATCACATCGCAGGACAATCTTCTCTGTGTGTTTCAGCAGTTGAAGAGTCAGGTGGATCTCTCCTTGGACTTCTTCATTGGGATCAACCCGAGTCAGGTTCATCCAACTGTCTAGCACTGACCATTCCACACAGAGATGACGTTAGTTACATTAACGCCATTTAAGGAACAACTTTTATTTGTTTTTACATGGTTGTCATTTAATTCAGAATACTGCAGTTCAATCATGACATCATGACAGACATGGAACAGACAAGGAGAAGTTAGCCAATAATATCGTATGCAAAATTGCTTTCAACGAAAGCCATTATTGAACTGATATACTGTAGGTCATTGTTTCCTCAAATCATTTTCCAGCCAACGCACATATTTTACACTTTGTACATGACGAAAACCTCACGGCACACCACCAAGCAAAAGTGTCCCAAAAAAAAAAAGAAAAAAAGAAAAAAAAAATTTAGTATGCTAAAATAATGATGATCTCCTGTGTGCTAAAAATAATGATTATCTCTTAAATTTCCCATAAATTCACTAAATGAGAAATCTGGGCCTGTTCAGTTGAAGCAAAGCTATCATTCTATTGTATAAACGGCAGCAAGTGGATACATAGGTCCATTGTAGTTTCTGCCATTTAGTGGAAGAGCATTTAATTCTTCTGCCTGTCACGATCGCTGCTCTCAATCGATGAGCAAAGAGACATCGCTTTTGGAAAATAAATGTTTTGAAAGTTGTCATATTGAAATGAACAAAAGTTCAATTGGCCCATTTTTCCCACGGCGCACCTGATGATCTCTCACAGAACACTAATGTGCAGTCCAGTCAGATTGACCCGTTCAGTTTATATTTCTCTTTTTTTTTTTTAGAAGTCTTGCATCAGTTGTTCAATTGTCACAATGTCAACATTATACAAATTCATGAAAAACGTCATTGTTAAAGTGACGTTTCCTGTTTGCTTACTTCTTGAGTTTTCTGTGTTCCCATGCATAACGTACCGGTAATGTTGTCCTTGTAAACTTGTTTCAAGATTAGATATTATGAGCGAGAATACACAAGTAACAACATTCCCAAAGGTTTGGTTTAAAAAAAATAAACAAACAAACACACAAAACCATCGACTCAGGCCATGTGAATTCATGACCATTTAACCTTTGTGACCTCGTCCTCCCACCAAAAGTCATTCATACCTTTAGTTTGAGATCCGATGGCTTCTTTGGTCAGCGAAATCTTTCCAATAACATCATCATGGCTGTTCAAGAAGATAAAGCTTGATGAGATGCAATCTAAACTCAAATAAAAAGAGGCGATGGGCTGATTCAACGACTAATGCTGATGAGGATAAGGGAATGGAAAAGCTCGAGACCGGTACCATGCACGATGGTTGTTTATTCTAAACCTTTGGGTCTTTTCCAAAACATGCAAACCGTACGTGGGACTCTAACCCAACTAAATCAAGAGGAAAGCGAAGCAAACACTGAGGCCTTAGAGCACCATACATCAAATTAGGGTTCTATTAGCCTGACTTTGGAATCATGTTGCGATTATTTTGGGCTTGACGACTTTACCCAATCGTATCCTCATCCATGACATGAAAGGAGAGTGAATGGAAACCCATTGGGAGGTGCAGTGTGTACTCTTCACCCCAGAAAGGATTGAGATTCTTCCACACTGTAGCAGTCCTGAACAAAGAAGTCACACATACATGACAGCATAACAACCAGAGCAGACAGGAAGAGAATCACTTCAAATGAGGCATCAATATGAATCTATGTCGAGTGGATAGGCAACTCAAAAACTCTCATATATAATTTATGGATAACATAAAAGAAACATGAATCCACATTGTAGGAACTTCATATTTTCAGGTTACTTTCATCCAGGTCCACAATGTCTTAACATGAGAAGAGATTCCAGTTGCTCCAAAATGCACAATCTGGATCATATCGACGACTTTGTTTGACAGACAGAAATACAGTGTTGTATCAATTGACTATCTTTGAAAAAAAGAGAACTTTCTGAGCCTGCATTGTGTTCTTGCGGCTGATCGGTCTATTATGCAAGTGAAGCTTTAGCATGCCTATGATCTGCACCACAATTGCTGCCTGACAGAACTGATGACTCAAAATAAACAGCGTAGGACAGACAACATAATTGCTCACGAGGGAAAACACGTTGCTTCATTTTCATCTTTTCAGTGAAACTATGGCTGGAGAGGCTGCAAAAGATTATTTTGCATAAACAAATGTAGAAGAGTGGTTAATAAAAACCGCATGTTACAGAAAAGGCTCTTGTTAGCTTGGAGGCAAGGGAGTGAATAAGTAGGTTTGTACTTCATATTATTTTACGGTTCATTTTATGTGACACTCGCGACGACACATATTTGCTCAAGATGGAAAAAAGAATGTTTTTGGAAGAAAAGACAAACGATCCACCCACTTATACAAAACAAGGAACATCGTGAGTGAGACGTCAGTGTTCGCAGTGAAACATTTTGCCACTTTCTCAAATCCGACCGCATAGAAAAATGACCACTGAGTTCAGCTCGTGTTCTTGTTGAGTCGCACTGCATCATGGCGAAGATCACAATGTTTTGTGGAAAGTGCCGGAGAACATAACACATAAAACTGAGAAGATACTATTTACTCTCCTAACAAAACAGACTGTTTGTTTACACAGCAAGCTACTCCCTTTCAAATCTATCATGTCTCTAATCCCTTCGAACCCAAAAACATGTGAAACTCCCTCTATTTCCTTAAAAGTACAGACCCTTGGTGGATGTCTCTCTCTTACAGACCCCAGCCCCATAATTCACCATAACCAAACAAGAAATCAGGAACAGTGTCAAGAAAAACACTCAAAAAGGTGGACGGCGGCATAAGCGGCCAAAATGGCTGCGCTTTGCAAGAGGGGGGTTAGTTCGGGACAAGGGTGCGTCCGGAGGCCGGGGCTGGGCTGGAGACTAGAGATGGCAAGAACCCCGCCCGTGGTGGCAAGGCCAAGTGCAGCGGTGTCATTGACCACATGAGCAGGCTTGTGGCGGTCCGTCATGATCTGGTCTGGTTTACACCCCAAGGTACATTACAAGGTTCTTTGCACATGCCTTCACCACATGGAAGGGTGGCTGGGGGGGTATGTAGTGGACGAAGACGTCCTTGGCTCAAGGTAGGTCTGGTATGGCACATAGGACTGGAGTAGGCCATGGCGGGAAGTCGGAATGGGGACAAAAACATCAGCAACACACTGGGACACAGTACGATGAGAGGTGGCAGACCAGAGGGCTCCAAAGCGTGCAGGGGTAGCCAAACAAATGGCATCGATAAACCGGCAGTTTGTAACATAGATTAAATGCACACAGAAATTCTATGCCCAGCAGTGGCGTACATACAGATGCCATAACAGAGTTCTGGCCGAAAGGGCGTCAAAAAAACACCTACACACACCTGGAGCCATTGGTACGTATGGGTGTGTCATTTGCAACGTCTATATGGGGGCAGTGGTGTATACCTGCCATGGTGTCTATCGGTTGTGCTGGCAGTATGCTGCACTGAGTGCTGGAGTCTACCAGTAGATGTCGGCTGAACATGAAGTTGGTCATATGAAAAAAAGAAAACAAAAACTGGATCGTCCTGAGCGCATCATCCTTGCTGATTGCTGGTGGAGCCTCCAGGAGCAACATCACCCTGGCTGTTGTTGAGGTGTTCAATGGTGCCAGCATTTGAACATATTTAGTAACATCCTGCATTATTCCTCTTAGCTGGAACTGGGCCTCGATGTGCTGAAAACATGGCCGTAGGTTGTGCTGCCAAAATTTGAGAAACTTGACCATTGCGGCGTAAGCCCTGGCATTGACATCTGACATGTTATTCATATCAGGGTCACCAATTGTGGACATGCGGTAAATCATGATATGAGGAGAGAAAGCCGAGTCATGTCTCTCTATTCTCCACAACAAAACTTTACTTTACACAGCAGGTAGCAAGCTACTGGTTTCTGACTCTTTGATGTTTACAATCATTTTGAACCCAGAAACATGTTAAACTCCCTCCCCTCCTGTGAAGGAGAAGTCATATCAAAAATGCTCTTTACAATAATATGTTCTATGCCGTACCACTAGTTTAAATACGCTATTCTGATTAATATTGTGTTTGTGGAATATGAATTCGGCAGCAACATACGCCCAACTCGGGAATGACCTCCAAGCGGTCTTGGGCGTGCCTTCGGGCTACGAACAGTTCCCAGTCAACAGCCGGCAACTGGGTCTGCAGGTACCCGGGTCGCTGCGGCTTTAGGAGCCGCTTTGGGACCCAGTTGGAGGTTGTTCAACAGCAACAGCAGCAGCAACATCCACCCATTTTCATCCAACTCTGGGGGTGGCCATTTTGCAACTTGCTGTTAACAGATAATGAATTCGCAACCAATCACAGCTCCGCTTGCAAATGTCACATGACCAAACTCAGAAAATGTGAGCTGTGATTAGGCATTACCTGAGCCCTGACCAACTGTGAAGTCATTTTCAGTCAACAGCAAGTGGCAGTCGAAGGCAAAATGGCAGCTCCCTGAGATGGATAAAAACGTTGGATTTAGCTGCTTAATTCATATTCCACAAACGCAGTGTTAATCAGAGTGTGGTGATTTGACTAGTAGGGAAGCATAGAACACATTATTGTAAAGGAATATGTTTGACTTGACTTCCGTTTAAAGGTACAGGTTCCTGGTGAATGTCCCTCACTAGTGGTTCACCACAAGAACCTCTTTCAGCTCTATTGTCTAAAAAGCTCCCATCAACTAATAACTGCATGCAACTACTGATGCATTCTCTCCATGGTTACCTGCGGGTCTTTTAAAGGCCAGAGCAGTATCAGGTTCTTTGCAATGGAGGGAGCCGCAGTGTACCCATACACCACCACCATAATCACACTATCTACTCCCAGGCTCCTAAGTGTGTGGAATAGCAGTTGCAGTACGACATTTGGTACAATGAAAAATCTTCACTGTGACAGCAGATTAAAAAGAAAAAAGACAGGTTGAGACTCACCTGGCTACAACTTCATTGTCAACTTTTACTATGCAGTATGGATCACTGGTTCCAGACCTTGAGATGGCAAGAAGAATATGTGACAGGATTAAATATCATATATGATGGTGGTGACTTATTAGAGTTCAACCTCGGACAGTCCTGACTTTCTAGTTCACCAGTATTTATTTAAAAAAATAATCAAAATGCAGTGGACTTGGGGCTTTTCTACAGAAAACAAATCAACAAATAGCGTTGAGACTGAATTTCATGAACAAGGCACACAAACACCTGCCCTGTAGAGGCATTACTTACACATCTTTGGCTGGGAGGTTCCTGCCCTCGACAATGCGAAAATATAATGATGTGTTTTTGGCCATTTCGGCGACGACTATACGCTATTCATCCAATGCTCCCATGTGCGCATTCCGTATCCAAACGTGTTTCTCCTCCCTTCTCTTCGTCTCACTGCACCCTGAACACGCATCGCCACAGTGCACGCACGCTCGCAGGCAGCGCGCGTGCATCTCCTGTCGTGTCAAGCAAGCTCGGTCAGGGGGGGCGTGAGCTCAGAACGATGTTATATTTGCCTTTCTTGCATATTTTTAAAACGAATTAAATAAATACACACTTAGAAACAACCACCGTAGTTGAATCAACACTTTACGCCATTTTTGCTTCAATATTTGACAGCGTTTAAAACGTGTTCCTGATGATATTTCGGTACCCTTTTATTCTGATTCATTAATCAGAATCAGAATCATCTTTATTGGCCCAGTGTGTCGAACACACAAGGAATTTGTCTCCGATAGTACAGGCTACACTAGTATCATCATTAACAAGCAACTACGATAAATAAGGACATGACAAACAAGTATGGAAAGACATTCCGTAATGTAATGTCAGGGTACCGTTGTGCGGCAGTACCACCCAATTACAGCTGTGAGACAATGTGCAGAGTATCAAGCAGAGCTAAAGTCAGCAGTGGTAGAATGCAATACTATAACAGTTGTGCAGTTGGTGCAGATAATCATTGCACCATTTTAAAGTGACCAGTGTCAATATTCGTAGAGCAAGTTTTAAGTGTGCAATTGGACAGAAGTCCTTGAGCGCTTTAAAGTGTCTGGTGCTGTGGAATAGAGATCAGTGACAATGGTTCAAGTACAGAGCTGGAGCTACAATGGTTATTGCGGTAATGCTGTTCCACATATTGTGCACCGTGGTATTAATAGAAACAAATTAATATACCAGTATGGCAAGGATGTTCTTTTATTTTAAAAAAAAGGTGCCACCTGGCGACTTGACACAACCACTACCATACCTTATTGTGACTTCCAGAAAGGCATATTAAAGGGCAACACGATGGGGTCCTTTTTAGCTAGTGCGAGAGCTAACATGGCTATCAAGCGTAACAAACCTGAAGTCATTTAAGAATAAATTCCTTTTATCAAATCGAACATATGATCACGGACGTGGTTTTTTGTATGTCAAATCTCCTCCCTTAATTAACCAAGTATTCTCTACGATATCCTTTTTTAAACCGTTCAGTGAGTTCAATTGTCGCTGTGTTGATGTCGATTCGAACATGAATGTCTATCCTCCAGTAACTGACGCGGATTCTACAAAACAGCAAGAACGGCATTACTACCTGTTGTCAGAGCTCCAAGCGTTAGCAAAAGATTTACCGAGGTAAGATTGCGTCCGGAAAAAAACGTGACTTGTATGATCGCATAGAAAGCCATTTGAACATTTACCTGAAATCCATGTAGTTAGATGATACACACTTTTTGATTGCACGAGTAAAATAACCCTGTGCATGAGTAGAACGGCGCGCGCTTGTAAAAAAAAAAAAACTTAACTAGTAACGTTGTTCCACTACTACAGGTACCTTCCAAAACTGTAAGACATTTCTGCACGCTAGTAGGACGACTTTGGCATATTTGTTGGACAACTGTATGTTTCTAGCGAGGCAAAGCTATCCGTGGACATTTTATTGTTACTAGTAGTGTCCATGAGGCTACTAGTTTGTGTCACATGCTTTCTAGTTTAGTCTACTAATGTTACTAGTGCGGCACAGCAATTTATGAGGTAGGTTTAATTATTACTCCGAGGCTAAAAGTAGCACTCAAAGTTATATAAGTGTGTACTTGTCATTTTATGAGGGTACTAAATTGACTTATTAGTGAGAACAAAATATTTACTGGTCAACAGGTATAGCGCCTAAAGTTGCATATCTGGATTTAAGAGTATCAAATAACTGCTCAGTATCAAATAACTGCTCAAATGGCTTTTAATCCTTTCATCATTTTCCAATCCGCTTATCCTCGCGAGGGACGCCGGCCTGCTGGAGCCTATCCCAGCCGTCGTCGGGCATTAGACGGGGGACACCCTGAACTGGTTGCCAGCCAATCGCAGGGTACACATAGACGAACAGCCATTCACAGTCACACCGAGGGACAATTTGGAATGCCCAGTCAACCTGCCATGCATTTTTTTTGTAATGTGGGAGGAAACCGGAGTACCCGGAGAAAACCCACGCAGGCAAGCAGAGAATATGCAAACTCCACACAGGAAGGCCAAAGCAGGAATCAAACTCTGCATCTCTGCACTGTGAGGCTGAGGTGCTAACCAGTCGCCCATCGTGCCATGGCTTTTCATATGGACTCGTTTCATGGCTAACTTATATTTAGCACCTTAAACCTAATTCTGTTTTTGTTAGAACTACTATTGAATACTCATTATGTTTTTGGGCAGCTCCTTCCAGCAACGCCTGTCCTACAATACACTTGGCGACCTGGCTCTGGCCCTCATAGATGGAACAGTTTATGAAATTGTGCAGGGGCTTTTGGATATTCAGCACCTGACAGAGAAAAATCTTTACAGCCAGAGGCAAAAGTTGCACTGTGAACACCAAGGTTAGTCCTGTTTTCCTGTTTCTCAACTTTCACTGAGCCATGACACTTACCGGCATTGCACATATTTGAATAGCTAATGGCACCCCACCAAATTGGGGGGTCACTGCACCCTGAACACGCATCGCCACAGTGCACGCACGCTCGCAGGCAGCGCGCGTGCATCTCCTGTCGTGTCAAGCAAGCTCGGTCAGGGGGGGCGTGAGCTCAGAACGATGTTATATTTGCCTTTCTTGCATATTTTTAAAACGAATTAAATAAATACACACTTAGAAACAACCACCGTAGTTGAATCAACACTTTACGCCATTTTTGCTTCAATATTTGACAGCGTTTAAAACGTGTTCCTGATGATATTTCGGTACCCTTTTATTCTGATTCATTAATCAGAATCAGAATCATCTTTATTGGCCCAGTGTGTCGAACACACAAGGAATTTGTCTCCGATAGTACAGGCTACACTAGTATCATCATTAACAAGCAACTACGATAAATAAGGACATGACAAACAAGTATGGAAAGACATTCCGTAATGTAATGTCAGGGTACCGTTGTGCGGCAGTACCACCCAATTACAGCTGTGAGACAATGTGCAGAGTATCAAGCAGAGCTAAAGTCAGCAGTGGTAGAATGCAATACTATAACAGTTGTGCAGTTGGTGCAGATAATCATTGCACCATTTTAAAGTGACCAGTGTCAATATTCGTAGAGCAAGTTTTAAGTGTGCAATTGGACAGAAGTCCTTGAGCGCTTTAAAGTGTCTGGTGCTGTGGAATAGAGATCAGTGACAATGGTTCAAGTACAGAGCTGGAGCTACAATGGTTATTGCGGTAATGCTGTTCCACATATTGTGCACCGTGGTATTAATAGAAACAAATTAATATACCAGTATGGCAAGGATGTTCTTTTATTTTAAAAAAAAGGTGCCACCTGGCGACTTGACACAACCACTACCATACCTTATTGTGACTTCCAGAAAGGCATATTAAAGGGCAACACGATGGGGTCCTTTTTAGCTAGTGCGAGAGCTAACATGGCTATCAAGCGTAACAAACCTGAAGTCATTTAAGAATAAATTCCTTTTATCAAATCGAACATATGATCACGGACGTGGTTTTTTGTATGTCAAATCTCCTCCCTTAATTAACCAAGTATTCTCTACGATATCCTTTTTTAAACCGTTCAGTGAGTTCAATTGTCGCTGTGTTGATGTCGATTCGAACATGAATGTCTATCCTCCAGTAACTGACGCGGATTCTACAAAACAGCAAGAACGGCATTACTACCTGTTGTCAGAGCTCCAAGCGTTAGCAAAAGATTTACCGAGGTAAGATTGCGTCCGGAAAAAAACGTGACTTGTATGATCGCATAGAAAGCCATTTGAACATTTACCTGAAATCCATGTAGTTAGATGATACACACTTTTTGATTGCACGAGTAAAATAACCCTGTGCATGAGTAGAACGGCGCGCGCTTGTAAAAAAAAAAAAAACTTAACTAGTAACGTTGTTCCACTACTACAGGTACCTTCCAAAACTGTAAGACATTTCTGCACGCTAGTAGGACGACTTTGGCATATTTGTTGGACAACTGTATGTTTCTAGCGAGGCAAAGCTATCCGTGGACATTTTATTGTTACTAGTAGTGTCCATGAGGCTACTAGTTTGTGTCACATGCTTTCTAGTTTAGTCTACTAATGTTACTAGTGCGGCACAGCAATTTATGAGGTAGGTTTAATTATTACTCCGAGGCTAAAAGTAGCACTCAAAGTTATATAAGTGTGTACTTGTCATTTTATGAGGGTACTAAATTGACTTATTAGTGAGAACAAAATATTTACTGGTCAACAGGTATAGCGCCTAAAGTTGCATATCTGGATTTAAGAGTATCAAATAACTGCTCAGTATCAAATAACTGCTCAAATGGCTTTTAATCCTTTCATCATTTTCCAATCCGCTTATCCTCGCGAGGGACGCCGGCCTGCTGGAGCCTATCCCAGCCGTCGTCGGGCATTAGACGGGGGACACCCTGAACTGGTTGCCAGCCAATCGCAGGGTACACATAGACGAACAGCCATTCACAGTCACACCGAGGGACAATTTGGAATGCCCAGTCAACCTGCCATGCATTTTTTTTGTAATGTGGGAGGAAACCGGAGTACCCGGAGAAAACCCACGCAGGCAAGCAGAGAATATGCAAACTCCACACAGGAAGGCCAAAGCAGGAATCAAACTCTGCATCTCTGCACTGTGAGGCTGAGGTGCTAACCAGTCGCCCATCGTGCCATGGCTTTTCATATGGACTCGTTTCATGGCTAACTTATATTTAGCACCTTAAACCTAATTCTGTTTTTGTTAGAACTACTATTGAATACTCATTATGTTTTTGGGCAGCTCCTTCCAGCAACGCCTGTCCTACAATACACTTGGCGACCTGGCTCTGGCCCTCATAGATGGAACAGTTTATGAAATTGTGCAGGGGCTTTTGGATATTCAGCACCTGACAGAGAAAAATCTTTACAGCCAGAGGCAAAAGTTGCACTGTGAACACCAAGGTTAGTCCTGTTTTCCTGTTTCTCAACTTTCACTGAGCCATGACACTTACCGGCATTGCACATATTTGAATAGCTAATGGCACCCCACCAAATTGGGGGGGGGGGGGTACTGTATATCGTCTTTATAAAAGCATTAAATCCACAAATCTATAAAGTCGCACACCACCAAATTGGGGTAGGGGGGGAAGATAAGATAAGTTAAGCCAAGACACTTACCAGCATTGCACATTTTTGAATTTCTAATGACACACCACCAAATTGGGGAGGGCGGTTGGAGGAGGGATAGGAAAGTACTGTATATCATCTTAAAAAAAGCATGAAATCCACAAATCTATAAAGTCGTTACAAATGTCAAAATAAGTTGACATTCTTTAAAAAATAAATAAAAACACACATACTGGATGGATACATTTAATACAGTGTATGATAGACATAGCATAGCACAGTGAAGCAGTCAACAAAAAATATGGCTACCCAGCTCCACTTTTTCCACCTTAATACCGGTAAGCACGTCACTTTCAGTGACCCGGAATTCACCACTTAAGTCATGTGGGACATGAGGAAGTTTGCAAAGTTGTTCCTAAAATTAATTTCAAATTTCATTTAAAAAAATATTGACTTTAACTTGCCTTAAGCTTTAGCAAAGTTAAATATGTTTGTTTTGTTTTTTTATTGCAATAATTTGCATTTGCAAAATGCCAATTTTGTTTGTTTTAATGTGCAGCCCTAAAGCAAGATATCGCAAGGAAGCACAAAGAAGCCCTGCTGTCATGCAAGTCTCACAACCTGGCACTCCTCAAATCAAATCAGCAAGCTGAACAAGAGGTAAAGGGGGCTACCAATCCCATTGTGTACCTTCCCGAAGTACAGTGGTACTTCGAAGTATGACCAAAATCCGTTCTCTGGTGCTGGCCGGCTTTCAAAAATGTCCTACCAGCAGTACATGAAAACATACATGATAATTAATATTTGGAGGAGAAATAGCAATGCGTATTGTCATAATTATTTCCTTTCCGTGAATGTTTTTCTTTTAAGGCCCTGGAAATTCGTGTTCGAGAGGAACAAAGAATGATGGATAAGAAGATTGTGTCTGAGATTGATCAAAAAGTTACAGACCAACAGAACACTCTGGAAAAGGCTGGAGTTCCAGGGTTTTATATCACCGCCAATCCTCAGGTTTTCAGCTAGTTATTGTTGTTCTTATCATTATAAACAATCGTACCCATGAGTGTTAAATTGTAATGGAACCTGAAATGATTAATTGCATGTGTGGATGTGTTTTTGTTGTTGTTTCCCAGGAGCTGACAATGCAGATGAACTTACTGGAGTTGATACTGAAGCTTCAACAGAAAGAATCCCAGTCTGGATTTCTATGACAGTGCCATCAGATGTAATATACACACAAAAAAGTCACCTCTGCAAAATACAAAAAAAAAAAAAAGGAATTCTTTAAAAATACTGGATCCGAAGTTTGTTAATGTTGCAGGTTATATCAAGAAATTAGTTGGAGATTAGGGTGGTCCATTTTGGAAAAGTTTGTCGGATTCGTCGGGCCGGGTCGGAAATCTTGTCGATACTATGACACAAGGATGTGTGCAAAATTTTATTCCGATCGGATAATTTTATCCCGTCCCGCAGAGGGACCAAAGTTTCCCCTATGGAAAGAATGTTACGGGGCTGAATGGTAGTACGGTTTCTCCCGTACAGTAAGGATTTTGTTTTGCTCAGTTCGCACTTGCAATAATTCAAAGACGGAAGACAGGAACGCATGTATTGCAAAAAAGGCAACCGTGGTTATCCTTCAACACTGGTGAGATTGTTGGTCCATGTTAACTGGCCCATCTGTCTATCTGTCCATCTGTCTATAATGTCCATCAACACTAGTGACACTGTTAGACCGCAAAAAAAACGAAATCCGCCGTGCGTGCCATCCCATGCCTACTTCGCGCACGGGTGCAACGCCCGGTGTCGCTCCACGACCTGCAGAAGGTGCTGTCGCTGTTCCTCGTCGCGCGTAATGGCGCCGCAGAACGCGCTGATGAGGGCGACGCCCCTCTCCGCAAAGTC